GCGAACTTGCTTGGAGGTAGCCGAGCTCACCCAATGAAAATCCTTTCCCTGTCGAGCTGGAACTGTTTTGAGTTGGGGCAGCTTGGAAGCGCCAAACCCGCCAGGAGCAACAGCAATTGGAAAGGTTGGAGGCAGTTCGCCGGAGGGAGCAGATGGAGCGAATGGTGGCTCTCGTTTTCAACCAAGTCAAGGCTCCGGGGTTGGTATGTAGTATGTAGTGTATGTCTGCATGGAAGGTGTTGTAGCGTAGCATGGTGAAATGGTATAGGATAATGCAACGTATCGTAATGTAACGCAAAATAAGGATGTACTGGATGGATGGATGGATGGATGGATGGATGGATGGATGGATGGATGGATGGATGGATGGATGGATGGATGGATGGATGGATGGATGGATGGATGGATGGATGGATGGATGGATGGATGGATGGATGGATGGATGGATGGATGGATGGATGGATGGATGGATGGATGGATGGGATGGATGGATGGATGGATGGATGGATGGATGGATGGATGGATGGATGGATGGATGGATGGATGGATGGATGGATGGATGGATGGATGGATGGATGGATGGATGGATGGATGTGGATGTATGGATGTATGGATGTATGGATGTATGGATGTATGGATGAGTGAATGACTGTACTGCATGAAATGTATGTGTGTAAGTAATGATGTATGTATGTATGTTTGCCAAGTAAGCATGTATTACGTCCCTTGCGTTCTGCCATCAGTGGATTGCTTTTTGTTGTGGGTGACTTTGAGCACAACAGTTCGATGTCCATGTGACTTGTTTTTGTTCCAGAGTTTGATGGACTACGTCTGGCCCTTTGGGTGCGGAAAGCGCGCAATGCGTTTGCAAGGCGCCTTTGCTACTCGCCAAATCAGAGCTGAGCCGTCCTGGCGACGCGAAGGACATCCTTGCTTGTGCCCAGGCAGGAGCCAGGAAAGTCCAGCGAGAGAGCGACAAAGGGAGCGAAGAAAGAGAAAAAGAAGAGAAAGTCGAGACAGAAAGCAAGCAAGAAAGAAATATAGAGAGCGTCACAGGAGCCAGACAGAGGCGGCCACAACAAACAGGGTGGGGGTATGCATCAATTTTAATTGTGTCTTCGCAACAGTCTGCCTCACTTGCGCCAGGGTCGAATTCAGCAGTTGTGGTCTCTGCTTAGCGGAGTGCAGAACGAAATGCAGAAGGAGTTTGATGTCGGGGCTGGGGAAGGCAAGTTCAGGGCGCGCGTGACAGAGACATTACGGGGAACCAGAAAGGAGCCAGGGACCAGGAGCGAGCCAGCTGCCGAGACGGGGAGCCAAAGTTCTGGCTCAGCGCCATCTCCGAGGCTTCACAAGACAGCGAACCAGCAGAGGACCTTTGACTCAAAGTGGACAGAGTCCTGCGCCGCATTGCTGGAAGCCTCCTGCATACAGCTCGGGGTGGATGTCCATGCTCCGTGGAAGCTACGATGGGTCAGGACTCAGTTTCACCAGCTTCCAACAACGACTACGTGTGTCAATGTTGGTCCTTCCTTTTTGGTTCTCTTTTGTTTTGGTACATGGTCGAAAGACCAATTTGCAAAACTTGGACACTGGTATGTCAAGCACACTGTCAGACCGCAAAGCAGGCAGCATCATCATGGATTCACCGATTCGCCCCCAGATCCACCCTTTAAATCCTGAGCCCCGAAATGCGGAAAAGGCCTGGTCGGCGCATTGGTCGGCAGGATTGAGCTGGACGGCAGACAAAGTTCATGCCTCAGCAGTTTGCTGACGCCAACTGCTCTTTGTCATCAAGGCAATCCATTTGCATGGGTTCATCAACGTGGTGTTGTTGTCCCTTGCTGAATGGTTCGCCCAAGCCATCCGCAAAAACAATTCTGCATACCCATCCTGAGTTTTGAAGTTGTGGATGCTTTGAGCAAGCCGAGGACATGCTTCATTTCCGCCGGTGGTTGGAGCCCGAGATCAATCGCCTCACTGCGAGGCAAGCTGGCAAGGAGGCTCAGCAAGACTTTGCCTTCCCGTATTTGGGGAGCCAGATCAGTGCTGGAGTCTCGGCTGGTAGGGTAAAGTGGTCCGTGAATTCCTGGATTCAACCTGTAGCACAACGCAGCTTTCAGTCGATAGTTGGATACACCCTTGCCTGCGCCTGTTAACATACCGATTTGACTACCCCGTGTTCACACACACACACACGCATACACACACCCACACCCACACACGCACACGGGCACGGCCACTTACATGCGCACACACACACAAACAGAAACACAGACACACAGACACAGAGACGCAGAGATAGACGCACTCACGCACTCACCCACCCACGCACCCACGCAGCCCCGCACCCACGCACCCCTGCACCCACGCACCCCCACACCCCTGCACCTGCACACCCGCACCCCGGCACGCGGAGGCCTATCTTTGCATTTTCAAGGACAGCGAGATGCGGTACCACTTGACAGCGCAGCCTCTTTCTGGAAGCAAGACGCACTAAATGGGATCACGCACACCGGTGCCAACTGGCGTCGGCATCAGCATCCTAGAGCCCATTTAGAGTCACCCGATAAGATGCCACAGCCTTGTACCTGCAGTTTGGGCGTTTTCGCGCGTCCTCCTCAATTCAATCCATTTTGAATCACGCACGTTCTATCTCGAGTTGCATCCGTGTCAAAATGGGTGGACCCAACAAATTGGTGGAGACCTTCGATGGCACGAGAGAGAGAGAGAGAGAACAAATTGTTGCTTTCCTTTTGGACTTTTGAAGATACAAATTGGCCGTTGGCAACCCCAACAGGATATTTCCCAAGCCGCGTCGTACGGCGGACTTTCTGCTGAGGAAGAATGCAACTTGTCTCCGTCGAAGACCTCGCTGTGGTTCAGCTATCGGAGCTGGCGATTTCATTACCACCCAACATTTCTCACTTTGACATTGGTGGCTTGAAAAAGTGAGAAGTATTGCATATTTTAATATCAAATGACATTTCAAAAGATGAACAAACAGATTTAACAGATATACAACTCAATTGTTGGCTACGCCCAAATGGCCGTCAGCGCATGAAAGTGCCCTGACAGACCAGATCCCCAAACCATTTGTACCCGAATCCACCCTGACCTAAAACGATATTTGGCTGACTTAAAGATTACATTAACGCAAACAAAAGCGCAACCCTTCACCCACCCGAAATTGATCGCACAATCGGAGGTCCGGCTCGCTGAACCTTGAACATGTTTGTCTGTTCAATTTAATAGTGGTTCTTGAGCAACTCTTTTTTTATGGTTTGATTTGTCTCTGATATATAGTTCGGGTGTTTTAAATATTTGTTTTTTCTTCGAGTAGATATTTACAACCAATAAATTAGGATTTGAGTGTTCGATTTTTTTTTTTTAAAAAAAAATGGATATATATAATTGATTTTCATATTATAATTTGTATTATTGAAGGATATTGATATTGGAGGAAAAACAAATACTATAAAAATATATATATATATATTGCATTTATGAAACATGATATATTAATTAATATATTTTTATAAATTAAATATAAATACTTTGTGGAATTTATGTAATTAAATGATTTAGATTTATATTTATTGGAATATATTATGTATAATAAATTGAAATTTGAGAATTAATGAATTATTTTGGAAAAATATGATTTGAGGAAATTTGATTGTTTTTATTTGGGAATATTACAATTTAAATTATTGGTTTGTTATTTTTTTTTTGAAATTCTTAATATTGAAATATTGAATATATAGCAATAAATTAAAGAATAGATTTATTATATTAATCTCTATAATTGTAGAATAATTTGATTATATTTAGGGAATTGATTAACATATATGATTTTAAGATTTATTTAAAAAACTATAAACATATATATATTTGGATTTGATTGGAATTAATAATATGTTTGATAATTTAATGAATACATGATTAAAATATGAATTATCTTTATAAATATATAAGAAATATGTTTTGTATTTTTATTTTTGATGAATAATTTATTTATTATATTTTAGGAAATAATTAGGGATAAGAATATATATAAGATTTGAAATATAAAATAAGATTAGTAATTATATTATATGAATATATATATATTTACAATTTAATTCTTTTTATTATATGTTTATATTTAATTATTTATAATTTATATTTTTTGAAATATAATATGTTTTTAATAACTATGATGTTAATTATTATTAATTTAAATAGAATTTCTATATCAAAATTATTTTAATTTGAAATAATATTTTGAAATATTGTTTTAATATATATAATTTTGATTATTTATTATATTGAATAAGTTGGATTATAAAAAGATTATATATAGAATATAAATTATATTCTATATATTTTTTAAATGTTTAATTATATTTAATATATATTAATTTTGCGAAAGAATTGTTATGATATTATTAACATGAAAAATTATTTGCTTTTATTATATATTAAATTATATTTAATATATAAATTATATATTGAAATATAATATATAATATGATTTATTAATTAGTAATTAAATTTATTCGAAAATATATTAATAGTGGTTTAATCTTTTTTGATTGGAAATAATTTCTTTATATAAATTATTATTCAAATAATATTAAATAAATATATATATTTACAAATTATATTCAATATTCCAATTCAAATTGAAAAGAATAGAAAAGGTATTATATTGGGATATGTCGGATCTTATTATAATGAATATCGAATCCATTCGTATATATTTAAACTAATAGATTTATTCAATTTAGAAAAAAAACAATCAAATTCTAAATTTCTAACATATATATATATTTACTCATAATAATTATATAAAATTATATTATTTAAATATGAAATATATTAATAAATATATATAATTAATATTAATTTAATAAAAATATTATTATAATAAATATATCGATACCGAATAAAAAATATACATTAATATTATTTTTCAATTTATATAATAGTTAATATATTTTAAATTATATTTATTTACCTAATCATATAAATATTAAATATTATATATAAATATATTAATATTTTATTATATTTTTTGCAATGAAATATACTATCTATGTAAATAAAGAAAACAATCTATTTATTTTAAATATATAATATTATAAATATATTTAATAATAAAAATTAATATTTTCTTAAGATTAAATTAATAAATATAAATAATAAATTATATATTATGTTTTGTTTATATTTAATAATATAATGGTTAATCGATAGAAATAATATCGAATATTTAAATATAATTATTATTCAATAATATATTATATCATATATATAATATTAAATAAATTTTAAAAAAATATATTAATTATTAATCGAATAATATATTCGATTCTATAATTAATTATTTATAAAAGAAAATTTAATAATAAATATATAATTATTTAAATTAAATTAATTTTAAATAACCAATTTATATAAAATAATAAGTAAATATAATATAAACAAATATATATATCCTTTTAATATATCTTAAAATTAATAATATATTAACCATTAAATAAATAATATAATTTATAGTTGTTATTTTCTAGGCCTACGACCTCTAATCGACTACGCTTCTTTAAAATTATATCATGTGATATTATATTCCCGAAAACATGGCGAAGGGTTCTTCCGCTGGGTTCACTTGAGTTGTTCTTATAAGAGTCATTACAAGATGTCATTGCAAGGAATCATCATCATAAAAATCATTGCAAAGAGTCATTGCAAGGAGTCATTGCAAGGAGTCATTGCAAGGAGTCATTGCAAGGAGTCATTGCAAGGAGTCATGGCAAGGAGTCATGGCAAAGAGTCATTGCAAAGAGTCATTGCAAGGAGTCATTGCAAGGAGTCATTACAAGGAGTCATTACAAAGAGTCATTGCAAGGAGTCATTGCAAGGAGTCATTGCAAGGAATCATGGCAAGGAGTCATTGCAAAGAGTCATAGCAAGGAATCATTGCAAGGAATCATTATAAAGAGTTATGGCAAGGAATCATTGCAAGGAGTTATTGCAAGTAGTCATTGCAAGGAGTCATTGCAAGGAGTCATTGCAAGGAGTTATTGCAAGGAGTCATGGCAAGAATTGCAACTTGCACTTGACTCCTTACACTTACAACTTGCACTTGACTCTTTGCACTTGTAATTTGCACTTGACTCCATACATTTGCAACTTGCACTTGACTCCATGCACTTGACTCCTTGCACTTGGCTCCTTGCACTTGGCCCTTTGCACTTGCAACTTACCCTTAACTCCGCGCACTTACGACTTACACTTGACTCCATGCACTTGGCTCCTTACAACTTGCAATGGCTTTCATAACTCCTTACAATGATTCCTTACAATCACTGCTTGCAATGACTGCTTGCAATAACTCCTTGCAATGTTTCCTTACAATAACTCCTTGCCATAACTCCTTACAATAACTCCTTACAATAACTCCTTGCAATAACTCCTTAAAACAAGCAAAGAGTAGTATTCTATCATCTTCCCATTTAGAAATTAAGAATAAAGATTAAGATTAAAGATTATAATTAAAAATAAGAATTAGAAATTAAAATCAAAAATTAATAAAATTTCGTTACGAGATCCCTAACACTTAAAACACGCCTCGCCCCTTTACAAAAACTAACTTAGCTTTTGCAAACGAATCGACGAATTTATTTTATTACCATCAAAAAATAATATATAAACATATATAGAATTTATCTAATATATAAATTAAAAAAAATATTAATTAAATTTAATATTAAAATTCATTTTCCTAAATATATCTATAAATAATATTCATTCCAAATAACAAACAATAAACCAATAATTATATACCACATTTACTATTCTTATTCCTTTTTATTTAAATACATAAAGCACGATTACGACCATTTCGTTATTTATTTTAAAAATTTCCTATCGTTTTCCAATATATCCATCGTTTTCCAAGGGTATCGTTTTTTTAAGAGTCCCCTATCGTTTGCCATGGTTTTGTGTATTTTCATAATATCAATAAAACAACGAATACTAAACTCAACAGAAGTAATTTTAACAATGCTTCACATTAAATTTCATTAAAAAATCATTCATTTATTTATTTTCTACAAAATCATCAAATTAATTCCTGGCCTATCATCAATATTTTAATTCATACATTAATGAGATACAATATATGATATTGTTCATAGTAGTCAAGTGATGGGGGAGTTCAAAGACCATCTTATTGATATAAGTATTTCTTCGTCGTATACGCATGTTCTTTGGCCATGCATACTCCGGCCACCGCCTCCCGTTGTGCAATCAATTGGACATCAATACGCGGCAAAGCCCACAATGATGTCAACAGCACAACGGGCCAGAATCGGCAAATGCACCAAGCACAAATCTGCGCTTGAATGCCTTCGCACTACTCAGAAGTGGTTGAGCCACATTCCTGTGGAGGCGGACATCCCGCACAAAATGATCGAACCTGATATCGCCTGCACTGAACAGATTGAATTGAGT